CCCAATGCATATCTTGTATCAGGACAAGCTGGATAAAGAATCAAAGCCAAACTGAAGCAAAAGCCAAATAAAACAAACAAATCTCCATTGGGAACTCTTTCCTGCTCATTCTATCAAAATCACATAGATACAGAATTCACAGATGTCTGAACCTGTATTGCCATAGGCTTTCTACATATATACCTACAGTTATGGATTCAAAGGCAAGGGTTGTAAATTTCTTTGTAGGATGAAACTCTCATAACTATGCCAAGAGTCACATACCTATATCACAAATTTAGTCCACAGATGATATTTAATGTGAGTATAATGTTTTTGGTAACAACCTCATTTTAAACATTTTAAGGAAATGTGTGCACTCTCTATGTTGACAGAGTACTTACTGCTTCTTGTCTTGCTTTATCTGCTTTGCTCACTTAGTTTACCTGCTTTGTCCTTGTAGGCTTTTCTTTACCTTCAAAATCCCTGCTTCTCAGTAACAATTTGGGTGGACATGGAGTGATTTTCATTATATATGTAGGTATAGAAGTCATTATGTAGAGTCATACAAGATATATATATTTTACTTTGACGCTTAACTTCTACTGAGGCTTTGCTTTCTGATTCCATTTATGTTAGTATTATGGTTCCCTCTTTTTCTTTTTCTTTTTTTTACTTTTTCTTTTCAAGGACTAACATTCTATTGTCCCTTTGGATTCCTATTCATTTAATTCTTCATGTCCTCTTGACCAAAGTTGAATGAGTCAGAGGAGGAAAGGGGCTTTTTTGAAACTGCTTTTTTTGTGTGTAGATTTCTTGTTGTTGTTTAGTTACAAAGTCATGTCCAGCTTTTTTGTGACCCCATGGACTGTGGCCCACCAGGTTTCTCTGTCCATGGGATTTCCCAGGCAAGAATACTGGAGTAGGTTGTCATTCCCTTCTCCAGGGGATCTTCCTGACCCAGGAATTGAACCCGCATCTCTTTCATTGCAGGCGGATTCTTTGCCACTGAGTCAGTTTCTTAGAGATGCTTAAAAGAAGAATAAAAAGCTGCTTCTTTGACTTCCCCTTGTCCCTTGGTAAAGATGACAAAGTGCTTTTCAAGATGTAGCAAAGCATTAGTATTAATATGTGTGTATGTGACTCAAGGTGGTGATATTTGAATCTGTTAGAGGGGGTAATAGGCAAGTTACTTTCCTCCTCTGAGCCTGTTTCCTTACCTGTAAAACACAAATAATGATACATCACATAATTTGTTTGAGGTTTCGATAAAATATCCTATAAAGTACCCAGCATAGGTGAGAAATCTAAAACATGTAGGTTTCTATATCCCTCCTTCCATTCTTCTCAGACACTAGATTGAATATAGATACTGCCAGTGATATAAAGTGTATAAAAGGATTTCAGAGAAAGATTGCAATAAAAATGTACTCTTGCCAAAAAGGGTCCCCTAAAACCAACTCACAATGTCAATACACCTTATATATAGTTGCTTTTCTGTACATGTGTATGCATAAATGTGCCACAGAGGTGTACATGTAAGCATATGTGTGTACACATACCTGTAACATTTGTGTTGTATGCAGATTAATGTGCTTTGTATATGCAAGTATGGAGTGTGTGTGCAGGAAGAAACAGGGCTAGAAGAAGAGTACATTGCGCTAGATGTTTGATGGTAACCCTATTGTAACTCATGGTATATAAAATAAATTTCGTTTATGATGTTGGTCTTATCTTCTAATTAAAATCATAGGCATGAAACTTCTTTATACCTGCATAAAAGAAGCAGTTTAATTTCTCTGCACCAGGGGAGAAATGATTTCATTGCCTGTTATGTAGCCCATCAGTACTTGGTGAGGGAGAATAGTTATGAAAGCCTCATCCTTTCCCAGTATATTTGCCCTCGCAATCTTCAAGGAGCGTGGATGCATCCTCTGAGGCTTTTTCAAGGTCAGCAGGGGTACTTTTCCCAGTAGTCCTTACCCTTCACAGTGCCAAGGGAGGAGACAGTTATTCTGTCTACAGTTATTCTATCTAAGAACTTTCATCCTGCGATGAACATTGGGGTGCACGTGTCTCTTTCAGATCTGGTTTCCTCGGTGTGTATGCCCAGAAGTGGGATTGCTGGGTCGTATGGCAGTTCTATTTCCAGCTTTTTAAGAAATCTCCACACTGTTTTCCATAGTGGCTGTACTAATTTGCATTCCCACCAACAGTGTAAGAGGGTTCCCTAGCACTGTTTATAATAGCCAGGACATGGAAGCAACCTAGATGCCCATCAGCAGACGAATGGATGAGGAAGCTGTGGTACATATACACCATGGAATATTACTCAGCCATTAAAAAGAATTCATTTGAATCAGTTCTAATGAGATGGATGAAACTGGAGCCCATTATACAGAGCGAAGTAAGCCAGAAAGATAAAGACCATTACAGTATACTAACACATATATATGGAATTTAGAAAGATGGTAACGATAACCCTATGTGCAAAACAGAAAAAGAGACTCCTATGTATAGAACAGACTTGTAGACTCTGGGAGAAGGCGAGGGTGGGATGTTTCAAGAGAACAGCATTGAAACACGTATATTATCTAGGGTGAAGCAGTTCACCAGCCCAGGTTGGGTGCATGAGACAAGTGCTTGGGCCTGGTGCACTGGGAAGACCCAGAGGGATCGGGTGGAGAGGGAGGTGGGAGGGGGGACCGGGATGGGGAATACATGTAAAAAAAAAAAGATACACTATGGTTGTGATAAAAAAAAAATAAATAAATAAAAAATAAATAAATAAATAAATAAATAAAAAGAACTTTCATCCTAGGTTATTCACACATGAAAAAAAAAAAAGAAAAGAAACTAGATTGCCTATACTGCATCTATTTCTCAAAAATTTGCTGATAACTAGTAATAACTTATTTCAATGAAGCCAAAGCAAATATTTGAGAAAAAGAAAGTAAGCTTGTCTTGGAAGTTATAAAGGAACAAAAAAGGAAAATGACTATGAATCTTAGCAGTTAAAGGCATTGAATTTGTGTAAAGCTTACTTTTTAATACGGATATATACTATTGGTAAATTTTTAAAACTCTGCTGTTCAGGAGTTTCATTTTAGAAGCATATGGAAATGTTTCTTTGACTTTACTTGGTACTTTGGACCCCATGGTGCAGACTGTGTGTAGCTGTAACCCTAACAACTAGTGGCAGTACAGCCCAAGACAGGACAAATTACAAGAGGAAATGAACTCATTTGCTCATTAAGTCACTTAACAAACATTAGGAATTCAAGGAAGTTGGGTTGAGCTAGATGATAAAGGTCAGAAGAGCTGTGCTAATGATGGAATGATACACATACACACGGGGCAGGTATGTCAACCCATTTTAAGAATTTTAGGATATAGGGAAATCAAAGATAAGTCATTGAATGGTTTTAGATTATTCTGGCCACAGTATACAAAGTGAATTGGAGGAATACTGGTTGAATCTGTGAGAGGGACTAGTGGTATCTTATAGGAATCCAATACAGAAATGGTCACATTTTGGACTAACACAACCACAATGGGCAGGGAGAGAATGGATCTGATTTTAGAGCTAATTAGTAGGTAAAATATGCAGAGCTTAGAGACTAATAATTATAGGAGGTGAAAGCAGAGTTGGGGATGAACCTTGGGCATTTGGCATCACATGGGTGGCTGGTGGAAACACTCACTGCACTAGGAAACACTCGGGGTGGAGACGAGGGCTTGGATGAAGTATCCTGTGGCATGCTGAGTTTTAGGTGTTGTGAGATAGTCAAACTGAAGAAAGTGCCAGAACACTTAGTGTTCAAGTCTGAAACTGAGAGGAGACCTTAGATTAACTTTTAATTTATGAGTTGTCCCCAGAAAAGTAGTAACGAAAAAATAAAAATGAGAGTGGAAGAGGTCACCGAGGAACAATGTATCTAGTGAAAAGAGAAGAAGGTCAAAACTGAGGGTTGAGGAATGGTTATACTATAAGGATAATCAGAGAAAGTTGAGTATTCAAAAGAGGTAGAAAGGAAAACCAAGACAAGTATAGTGTTACAGAAGCCCCTGGAATAAAATGCTTCCAGAAGGATGGAATTGTTGGTGGCCACAAAGACTGCAAGGAGTTTAACTAAGGGAAAGATAGTCTGAGTGTCTATTGGATTTAAATACTGAAAAGTCACTCACACATTTAGGGAGACCAGTGCCACTGAGGTCCTATGAGTAGAAGACTTTTGACTCCTGAGAGGTCGATAGTAACCATAGCTGTCACTTGTCAAGAATATGCATTATGCCAAGCATTCAAAGCTAGTTCTGGTATCATCAGACTCAGTTATTGTTAAGGAAACTGAGGCCTCTAGAAGTTAAGTAATGCTCCAAGGTGACAGTATGCAGAGAAGTGTTGAGACCTGGACTTGCTGTCTCAGATGCCAGTGTCTGTTCACTATACCACCCTGTGCATTCAACTTGGGAAGGACAGACTTTCTTGAGCGTCAGTCCAAAATGGCCTTCAGGGATATGTGCTTTGGAAATCAACAAGAGCAAAGGGATCATGAAACCACCTAAATCAATTAAATCTCTAAAACTGTTCAGAAGGAACAAAACAGTGGGATCTTTTTCATGACTTAAGAGCAAGAGAATGATGGAGAGTGATGTGGAGAATTGACAGAGGGAAGACGAAAAGACAGAGGTGTGATGGTCCCAAGGTCAAGGGACAGAGGACCATAAGAATAAACTTCCAATACATACAAGTATAAATATCAAAAATGAAAGTATTTAGAAGATGGACATCAGAAAAATGAAGCCTCATTTGTATGCAGACCTAACCTTGCACAGTATTTTAGCTCAATTCACCGATAAAGGACTGAATCAGGAAAAAAAATACCAGTATTTCATCTAGAGACCCAGATGCCCTTTTCTGTGCTGTGATATATAAGTAGAAATGACTTTATGCTTTAATTTCTTGTATTTATTCTCTGCTACTGACTCTGTCTATATTTTCTTCTCTTTCCTTTCTTTAGATCATGCTTCTTAGTGATCCTGAGATAGAGAGCAGCATATTGATCAGCTCAGATGAAGGGGCAACCTATCAGAAATACCGGCTCACCTTCTACATCCAGAGTCTGCTCTTTCACCCCAAGCAAGAGGACTGGGTACTGGCCTACAGTCTGGATCAAAAGGTGAACAAATACTGCTTTCATTTACATCCTGTCACCCAGGTACCACCCCATGAAAAGCACTTGCCTATTTACTCAGTCCACATATACAAGGGTATTCAATGACATTGCATTGTTCTGACTACACTGATTATGTCTGCAGCATCTAACTTTCCTTTTTAGTCTTTAATATCAAAATATGCAGGTGGGTATATTTCATTAATGACAATGCCATTTGTCATTTCATAGGTTTAAGATTTTTTGTGTGTGATTTTACTCATTTAACCTTTCAAACAAACCCTGTGCTATAAATGGGAAATGTGTATTCAAAATAATTTTATGGAGACTGAAGTAAGCATAAGTGCTGAAAAGCCAAGGTACTTGTTCAAAACCACTCACCTGGTAGCTAGAGGAGCCAGAACTTGGAAGCTTATTGTCAGACTTCAAGTCTAGGCCTATCCTATCACACCATGCTGACTTGAATTGGAATATATCATTGTTCTCAGTTTAGCAAAGGGAGGACAGCAGGCTTGTGTCTACTTTCACTCACTATTGTAGCATCAGTCTCTAGGATAGTGCCTGCCATTTAATAATGATCAGTAAATATTTGTTATATTTGAAAGTTTGGACTTCCTTGGGAGCTCAGATGGTAAAGAACCAGCCTGCAATGCGGGAGGCCTGGGTTTGATCCCTGAGTTGGGAAGAGCCCTGGAGGAGGGCATGGAAACCCACTCCACTATTCTTGCCTGTAGAATCCCCATGCACAGAGGAGCCTGGAGAGCTACAGTCCATGGGATCGCAAAGAATCATACACAACTGAGCTACTAAGCACAGCACAAATATTTGTTAAGCAAATGAGTTAGTAGATGGATGCATTGCTATGGTAATGAGCCCTTTATAGTTGATCAATTTATATCTATGAAAAGAGAATTTCGTTTGTTCTTTGTATTTCCTGCTTTTTCCAGAACCTTGGTACAGTGTGTGATGCCAAACTATTATGTCACAATGTTGTGGAATCAATCAGTGAAAGGGAATGGATACTTATGAGTACTATCTTACGTAGAGTTGTCTACAGAATAATGCTATTGAAATAGCTTCTTGTCTCTGTTCTCTCAAGTCCTGAAACAGTTGTTCCTCACTATATGTTTGAATCTGTAATTAGTAAATGTGAGTGTGTGTGTATGAGGTGTCAGCACCTTTAAACAATAATTTCAACATAACCTTTATACCTCTCATTAACAGAGCCTCAGGGTGGGCATCAGGTGCTAAATGCAATTCCCTAAGGACACCCACATGACATTTGCAGAGCAAAAACCATTGCAAATACATTTCTTTCATGGCATCAGGTGGATATTGTGTGAAAGACTTAGCCAAATGTCAGATAGCCAAATGTCTGTTTAAATGCTTAGTAAAGCCAGGAATTTTGAAGATATGTTGAAAAAAATAAATGATTTAGATGTTATTAAATGGCTGTCTGATAATTTATTTAGGTGAAACTCAGAACTCTTAAACCATGTTTTTACTTAGGCAGAGACAAGCTAGGTTAGACAAGCTAGGCAGCGGACATCTCATGCCAAGAGGTTGATAAACCAAATGCAATATAGAAGTATTCCTTTTCTCCAGCTCCACAGCACTGAGAACATCTACAGCATTGGTTGTGAAGTACCCTTACAGATATAATGCATTCAAGATAGTTTCTGACTTGGTGGTTGCTTTTTCACCTGGTGAAAATATTTGCAAATGTGGCAGTGTACACTGATGGATTTTCCTAACCACACTGAACATTTCCGGGTGCATTCTTCCTTAAGCTCTCTTTCCTGTTGACATCTTTTGTGTGAAGTGGCTGAATGTTCTTTAGGCCCATAAAGTTTCTAACTGGTGCCCTGCCACTCTTTTAAATAAATGGTGTGAGAAAGCCGATGATGCCCCCGGCAACATTTGTAGAGATGCCATAAAACATCATCCAGGCATTCAGGTTACAGCAGAGTTTTTCTTTATTTGGGAGTAATTTATTGGTTTAGAGTCAAGGAGAGGGATGCTCTGGAGCAGCAAATGAAGATGCAAGGGTAGCCGAGATTGATATACAAATGTCTCATTTCAGACTGCAGCCTTCTCTGACATGCATGCATTGAGGCACGGGCTTCTTCCAAAGAAAATGAAAAGTGCTTGTATTAAGGCAACTGCAGCATCAAAGGGAGATGTTTGTGGTGAGGAGAGAATCGATGTTTCCATTATTGTGCCTTTGATGAAATGCACTAGCAATTTCTTTAGAATCTGAAAGGCTATCTCTTTACGTTGTATGTATTACAAAAGACCTAATTGAATGATATTTTAAAAGGACAATATCCAATTGCTCTACCTTCCAAATTGCTACCCCAAAGCTGCAGGAAACTTGCCAGGAGCTCTCACTCAATAAAGGCACTGCTGGAGAATTAAGGAAATACCTTCTGGATAGAACAAAATTGTGTCTAGAAATTGAGAGTGCACATAATCTTGTGTTCATTGAGATGTTGGCTGGCAGCTTGTGAATCCCCTGGGAAACCTGGCTACCTTTTGCTGGTCAGGGCCAAGTTGGCGTTGAAAGAGATCCAAGCCTTCCAACTTCCAAAGCTATGAAAGGGTGTGGAGGTAGGGCAAATGTGCCTTGCACTTGGCCCTGTGGGAGGATCATAACTCTTCAATTCTGACGTGTCTCAGTCTCACAGAGTCCTTCTGTGTCCTTCTCAGTGTGACGTGGGCCTTTGATCAAGTCCTTCTGTGCTGGCTATACTATGGGTCCTATTACCCCCTATGCCAGCTCCCTTCTGCCTTACAGATTCTCCTGCCATCTTGCATTTTAACATTAACTGACTCAGTAAAGATGAGATTCTTTCTTGTGTACAAGAATCTTGGAGATGTTTTTATAAGAATCTTGGAGGTTTAAAAAAAGCACAGCAGAAATAATAGGTTATGGTTGACCAAATTGGATATCATAAAAGAAAAGCTACTCCTCTCCTCTCAGAACCAAAGCTCTAGAACATCTTAGGACAGCTGTGTATTTACTAGTTATTTAGAAGACAGTATTCTCTTTTGCCTCCATCAGACTGTTTCCTTGCTAACGACTGAAACAGCTCACTTTGGGATATTTTGAATTAGCTGGAGGGCTCAATAATCTTACTGAAACCGAGAAGTTTTGAAAAGATTTTGAGATAGGTTTTGAGGACATTGCAGTCCTTTAAAAAGATAGGTGTTATTCTCATAGTTACAGAAAGCTGATGTTTAAAAAAACAATCCCTCATTTTGACAAGGAACTCAGTATAGGTTTTTTTTTTTTTTCATTTATTTTTATTATTTGGAGGCTAATTACTTTACATCATTGTAGTGGTTTTTGTCATACATTGAAATGAATTAGCCATGGATTTACATGTATTCCCCATCCCGGTCCCCCCTCCCACCTCCCTCTCCACCCAATCCCTCTGGGTCTTCCCAGTGCACCAGGCCCGAGCACTTGTCGAATGGCACATGATCATGTATTCACAGATGCATACAACCTGGACAGGGGGCCTTCAGCAGAGATGCAGAGTTGATAATAGCTGTTTTCCTGCGTGAGAGGTGGGATTGCAGGGCTTTCTGTTATCATTTGTCTTCTTGGCAAAATGAAACTTTAACACACCTAGCTGGCTTTGGCCATCAGAAATTAGAATTTCAATGGGATTTCAGACTTGATTTTTCAGATGCTTCTGGGCTAGACTAGTCTAGAACTGCCTGAATTTTCAATGTAAAAACTACTTTCTGAAAGACTAGCACACATAATGAAGGGTTGCTGTATGGTAATTGGGAGGGGGGTGGGTGTGCAGCTATGGGTGTTTTCTTTTATTGCTGGCCACGCACTAAGTTCAATAGCAGCTGACAGAGTGACAAGCTGGTTAAGAAACTGATGCCATCTTGGGCATTGTTGTTTAGTCGCTATGTCGTGTCTGACTCTTTTGTGACCCCATGAGCTGTAGTCCACCAGGTTCCTCTGGGCCTGGTCACTGGCAAAATAAGGTCTGCAGTGGAGGGGATGGGCTGCCACACATGAGCAGAACACTAGTAAGTTAGGTGTATCTAGTGTTAGAAGGCCTGAAAACTCAAAGGGAAGTTTAAATTTGTACTTCTGAAATGCTGGTACAAATGAAGAAGTTTCTTTCATTTATATTCTCATGAAAACCCTCTGATTAGAAATGTAATTGTGCTCAGAGCCTTCAGGATTAGCCGGAGATGGTAACTTTCCTCAGTAGCCATTGACAGAAAGGCTTCATGGCTGCCCAGCTGGTGAGGACGACACTGTTGGGAATTATGTTAGGCTGGCTGTGGTGTTGAAGCCTATTCCCTATGGAATAAGACTGGGACAAAAGGTACCTCTTATTTAGAGAGAGACACTGCATTTTCATTAGGTCCTCTTCCATGCCTATAAAATCACTTGTCTATCACTGAAGAGGAGAAAGGAAAATCCATAGCCTCACTCACCTAGGGTGAGCCCACACTGCTCTCACAGATGTCTCATCCATACAATAGAAATATGCTATCTCCATCACCATAGAAACACCAGTTTCCAGGAGGCCACTTTCCTGAAGGTGAACACAAAAACAGTGGACTGAGAGAGAATGACCCTATTTTGTATTAAAAAAGATGGTGCAACCACCCTGTTATTCAGATGTTAGCATTAACCTATTTGCGCTGAGTTCTGAATGACAAAACTGGTTTAATGCACAATACTAACTTGCATTCAGTGAGGGCGGTGCAGTAGGAATCTCTAGTCTTTGCAACATTGCTCTAAGGATGCTGGCTCAAAGGAACAGACTTCAGCAAAAGTCTTTATCTTCCCAACCCTGCCTTTTCTATACCATGTCCCAGACTTCAGGTCCCTGCCTCTACCTTCTAGGTGTCCCTTTTGGTAACCTGACACCTTTCGGTCAGGAAAAGAACATTTGCTAAAATAATTAATGGAAGATGCAGCATATATATATATATATATATATATATATATATATATATATATTAAG